CAATGTTTCAATGACCATCAGAATCAGTTCACCAGCTTCAATACGCAACTTCAACAGATACATGCAGCAGTTGTTGGTACTGATAATCATCAAGGCGATAATGTTCAATTCCGTGGTGTGCATTCGTCAATTCCCCAACATATGATGGGTGCTCAACATCATCGCATGGATCCTAATGATCCAAGAACGTTATTGAAGTCCATTCGCATGGAACTTCCTATCTTCAATGGCACATATCCAAATAGTTGGATTTTTCGCACTGAGTTGTATTTTGGCTTACAACAGGTACTTGATACCCTCAAGGTCCGATTGGCTGGTATGAAAATGAAGGGTTTAGCGGGACCATGGTTTCAATGGTTGTTTAACAGCGGTTCTATTCATTATTGGGTTGAATTGAAGCTGGCGGTGAGGCAGAGGTTTGGGGGAACAACGTATCAGGATTTGAGGGGAGTGCTATCAAAATTGACGCAGGATGGTGCACTCAGTGACTATATTAGGAACTTTGAGGCTTTAATTATTCGAAATGTATGGGACCTAGTGTTTTTGAGTACCTTTTGGAAGACCTTATTCCATCTTCATAAAACAACACTCTGGTATAATTCCTCTTACCACCTTGAAACGTATGGGAAAACAGAGTATGTTAATCAAAGCTTGGAACAATATCTGAGAGCCTTTACTTTTGAAAATCCCAAATTATGGATAAAGTTGTTACCTTGGGCCAAATTTCATTATAATACAGCTTTTAATCGCTTCATTGTCACTTCTCCATTTGAGGCGACCTTTGACCGATCCCCCCCCCCCCACATGTGTGCTCAACTACTCCTAGGGTCTCACATCAGTTGAAGCTATTGATTCCACATTGATCCAATGTGAGCAAATCCTAAATACATTGAGAACCTAGTTAGCAAAGGCCTAAGCTTTAATGAAAAAACAAGCAGACTTGAAAGGGAAAGATTGTACCTTTAAGCCGGGAGACTTAGTCTTACTTCGCCTACGACCATACCGTCAACTATCCTTGGTCCCTCGCTCTTCTCAAAAGCTCGTGGCCAGATTCTATGAACCATACAAGATATTAGAGAAAATCGGCCAAGTGGCTTTTCGCCCAGAACTCCTAAGCAACTCTAAAGTTCACCCAGTGTTTCGTACTTTTCTCCTCCGACCATATCATGCACCCGTCAACTACACATTCACCATCTTCCCCAAAATAGATATACTCTGCCACCGTGCCATGTTCTGGTCGCCATAGTCTCACAACACACCATTCTTCGCAATCGATGCTCTGTCGCTCAAGTCCTTGTTCAATGGTCGAACCTACCACATGATGATGCCACATGGGAAGATGCAACCGTTGTGTGCCTTATGCCGGTGCTAGACCAAGACAAAAACACAGATTTGCAGGAGGTGATCATTACAAACATGGGAGATTCTTTGCTAAATGATGCCAAGAAGGAGACACAAAATAAATTTTTGGTTTCGGGTTCCACAGGGGACGATGAAGTTTTTTTGGAGAAAGAAAAACATCAGCCTAAGGGCGAAGGAAACAACGATGACTATTCAAAAGCCAAGAAAGGGGTTTCACTTCATGTTGTTGGAAAAGCGAGTTCCAAGAATGTTATTAATGCTCAGCCAACACTCCCCAATGTTACTTTTCAGAAGAGTCAGGTGGACAGTTCACTAGCCAATCAAAACTCAAGGGAAGGATTTCCAACCAATCAGCTTCCAACAACTAAAGCTCTTATATTATCCACCCAACGAATAACACTAAAGTTGAAGGGACAGTTTCGATTCAGATGGTTGGTCATAAATATCAGTCCATAGTAAACCTTAAGGACAAGGGTAATTCTGAAGGGCCAAAAAGTATTGTGAGCCTAATTGAGAACATGCCTAAACATATTACCAAGAACCCATCATATTTGAAAGACTATGTAATGGACTAGACTGAGACTATGAGAGAGAGATATATTATTGAGTCCATGTAATTTCTTTCAGCCCATTGTGACCATAGGTCATGTTAAAAGTGTGAGGAATTTTCAGTAAAGCATAAGAGAATGTTGAATCTTAATTCTCTCTCTAATTTCTCCTCTCTTTCTCTCCAGCTTGCTACATTCTCATCCAGACAAAAATGTTCTACTTTTATGATTTAAAAAACCAAAAACTTCAGGATTATTTTAGACATTTCATTTAAGTTTTCTAAAATCTAAATTAACTAATAATCCTCCATTTTTTACTCATACCATTAATCCCTTGCCTTATACTTGTGTTTCTAGGTTCCATTTCTCCAAAGTTTTTGATAATCCATAATGCAAAAGCAAATAAAAAGAACATAGCATGTAAACAAGCAAAAGCAGCAGATTAAGACTTTTGGGTAAAAGATTTGCCCAATTAAACGTCATTTCATATGTTTTGTCAGTCAAATATGTACCCGATTAGTACGGGATCAGTTCTGCACTATTATAGTACGAGACTCACTTCATCCATCCCCATCACTCTTGCATCGTTTTGGTACGCTGGCAGTCTCGCACCTGACCAATACGAGATTAGTCCCATATAGCTTTTGTACAGAACTTTCCCCCCCATAAATATGTATCATGAATAGGGCTGATTAGAGAACTATTACTTGTATAAAGTTGTCTCACAAAATATGTTTCTCTATGTCACTATTGATGTTATTATTCTTGAGTTTGTTGTACACAGGAATTTATATGGGATCGTTTAATTTAAGAACAATAATTAGAAGGGGCAAAAATCAAAATAATCAATTATGGACAATTCATATTTACAAGAAAATTCTCAGCATCATCATTTTTTTTATGTTGGTTGAGCAACATCAACTTAGTATTAGTATATTGGTAGCTAATTCATAATTTTTATTATTTAAGTTTGATGTTGCTCAACCAACATAAACAAAAAAAAATGTTGTTGAGAATTTTCCAGTAAATATAAATTGCCATAATTGATGATTTTGATTTTTGCCCCCTCTAATTAATGTTCCCAACTTAAACGGTCCTATATAAATTCCCGTGTACAAAATCAAAAATAATAACATCAATAATGACTTAGTGAAACATATTTTGTGAGACAGTTTTATACAAGTAATAGTTCTCTAATGAGAAAGGGTTGCTATTCTCAGTGTTGAAAAAATCGGACCGGCCCGGTCGGGTCAACCCGAAAATCGGTAAACCGGTCTTGTGGCCGGTCCGGTTTTTATGTTGGATCGGTCAAGTGTGCGACCCGGTGTAACCCGGTGCAACCCGGCCGGTTTTTGCAAAAACCGGTGACTCGGGAGGTTTTAATTTGAACCAATGGATCATGCATATTCATTTTTAAAAAAAAAGAATAAGAAGAAATAAACGACTTCGAGAGGAGAAAAGAAGCGTAGATCTGAAATCTGAACCATGAAAACGGATGAAGGATGGATTATTTTGATCGCGGGTATGCATGAGGAAGCACAAAAGGATGATTTACAAACTGTATTTCATGAATATGGAGAGCAAACTGCATTTCAGGATAATTTGAACCTCGATAGTCGCACTTGTTGTGTCAAAAGTAAATGACAAACCCTCTTTCCATTCCTATTATATTTTTTGTACAAAGAGAACTTTCTGTTGATGTGATTTGTGTTTTATGGAAAAGCAATCTTGATTGTTGATTACAAAATCATCGACGGTGTGTAATTCACAATCCACGTCGTCCAATTTGGTGGATGCAGTAATCCTCCAATGGCTTATATATTACAAATCGATGACGTGGCGTGGTTGGGGTTACAAATGGATTACTAATGGATACTGTAATCAAGAATTAGGAAAGACTGTGTTTATCAATTATTAATGATTGGGCTATTTTAAATAAAAATAATCCAATAAGTCTATATATATAAGGTAATATTTTTTAATATCAAATTTTAACAATTGATCTGGACAATGATATATAATTTATTATTTTTTATATTAGAATATTTGGAACTTGTATAATTTTTTACAGGTATTTGAATATATTTATATATTTTTTTAACATAAATTATATATTTATATATACATACCGGGTCATGCGGTTCAACCAACGACTCACTGGTTGAACCAGTGACCCAATGACCTAGTACCTCGACCGGGCCAAGTTTAATAACATTGGCTATTCTTGATACAGCTTTTTGGGAAAAGAGTGCTGTACAAAAGCTATACGGGACTAGTCCTGTACTTGTCACGTGCGGGACTGCTAGCGTGGACCCAAGTGACTAATTAATAGTCACGTACCAAGATGATACGGGACTGATGGGGATGACTCACGTGGCTGCGAGTTAAGTATGTGTTTAACTACATTATTTTGGCAAAATATATGAAATGTGGTTTAACTGAGAAAATCTTTTATCCAAAAGTCTTAATCCGGTGCTTTTGCTCATGTAAACAATACAAATGATATTTTTTTTCTTTCAAAATGAATAAAGAAAAGAAACAACTGGACATGGGTTTGGGAGGTCCAAGAGGACCTTTAGGATAAAAGTATGCAGATCAAAGAATAAGGAACATCTTCTATTTGCATTGCTTAGCCCAATCAACAGCATCTTTTCGTCATATTAAAAGCCTTCAATAAAAGAAAAAAAAAATTTTGTTTCAGTTAAAACTTGTTTTACATTACGTAAAATATATTTTTCTCTTCTTCTGAGTCCAGTATATGCAGCGCTGTCTTCTCTTCATTTTTCGCGCTTTTAACACCAATGGCAACAATTTTTTAATTGCTTGCAACGCAAATGCAATTTAGAGACTACAGCGAGGTTTAGAGTTTGTTAGAATTATAAGATTTAAGTCAAAATAATAAGAATTTACAAGTATTATTTACTGCACGGAAGCAGGTAATAAGATGTAATAAAGCTCTAAGCTTGATGATTTTTTATCTTAATTAAATAAGAAAATAAAATATATATAAATAAAAAAAGCTATTTAAAATTATATTAAATACTCTAAATTATTTTAAATAATTGCGAAAGATATTTCATACAGTTCATTTACGAAAAACAGCTTCTTGAATACCATTAATGGTTCTGGGTGGCCGTAGATCTATAATAATGAAAAGGTCTCCAATAGTAGAATGAGGTCTAGTGCTATAACAACGGTCATACTCATCAATGATTAGGACGCTGTACACTAGAAGAAATGCAGAAGCAAAAACATTTTTTCCCCCTTTCCATTTCTCCCAGGAACAAACAAGACCCACACCAACCAAACACTAGGTCCCCAGCTCTCATTGATTTCCAGCTGGATAAACACAACATTATGTTCGCTAGATTTTTATAATATTAAATAAATAATCACTAGCCAATCAAGACACACCCCTCTTCGAGTGAGTGATGAACCTTTGATCAACCCTTCTGCCAAGTTTCAATGATCAATCCCAGCTAATCGAGATTGGGGTTCCAACCACGTTCTTTCCATCAGACCATTCCAACCTTCCAAAACCACTCATGCTCTGTGGGGTCGTCGAACCCGACGATGCAAACGTGACCGTATATGATTTTTTCTCATTTCCCTTGAAACTCAGCACTTGCGGCTCAACCGAGATTTTCACGGATGGGGTATCTGACGTCACTGAAGCCTTGTACGTTCCTGCGGGTCCCACGTTGGTGAGAATCCGCGTGTGTTTAACTACGTTGGACCCACCCATTGATTGAAAGACAACCGCAAACGAAGGGTAATTAAGGTCGTTCACGCTGTATTTTCTGCTCGCGTCGCACTGGAATTTCCTCTTGGCGAGGGTTTCGATTTGAGAGGCTGTATAGTTAAGCGCGCAAAGGAAACCTAGATAATCATCTACTGTCAGATCATAGACGAGTCCTGGATTAAGGGCAGAAACCGGGTCCACGTGTCCGGCACCGTGATCGAACGGTGTGGATGGTTTTTCTGTAGCGCTGTCCTGCAATTTCTGACCGTTTTTGTAAGCCGTATAAGCCGTTGTCATCAGAGCCGATCGAACCGCCGCTGGGCTCCACTCAGGGTGAGCCGATTTGATCAAAGCGGCTAAACCGCTCACGTGAGGGCAGGACATGGACGTGCCTGATATGATATTGAAATCCACGCGCCTACCATCCACACTTAATCCAGTGGGACCCACGGCCTTTGACCACCCCGCTAAGATGTTGACACCTGGCGCTATCAGATCAGGCTTCAAGATCTGCGGCGTGATGGAATTGGGGCCCCGGGAGCTAAACGCCGCAACCACCGGCGATGGCTGAATCCCGACCTTAGTTCCCTCGAACAAAATCTTCACCGTCGGTTTCGGGTCGGAAAACAGGTATTTCTTGATCGCGTCACCTTCCCTTTCACCAACAGCAGTCGCCGGCAAAAGATGGGAATCAGCCACCAGTTCTTCGCCGTTCGCGGCGGTGTTGCTCAACACCATGCCCAAGCCTCCGGCGGATTTCACAACCGCTCCTTTCTGAACCCTAGCACTCATTCCACGGTCACACATCACGATTTTCCCGGCGACTTTCTCCGGCGCCAAGGTTCCCATCATGCACAAGTTACCATTCGTAGCGTTGGTGGCATTCGCTGCGTAGATAAACGGTAAAGGAGAATCAGGCAAAGCGTTGCCTCGATAGAGTGAAACACCGGAAAAGTTGAGTCCATTCCCGAGGCTAACATACGCCGGGAAGTCACGATCCAGTGTGCCAGCGCCTACAGTAGTAATCCATGGTGCCACATTGGAGAGACTGTAGGAACTGGGACCCGCGTTCCCCGCAGAGCAAGACACGAGAATCCCTTTCTCCATTGCCGCAAAAGTTCCAATAGCAACGCTGTCTCTGTGATAATCAGACATTCCACCACCGAGGGACAAAGACAGAACATTAACGTTATCCAAGATGGCCCTCTCAATCGCAGCCAATATGTCGGAGCTAAAACACCCTCCGATCCAGCAAACCTTGTAAGCAGCCACTCTGGCGCGCGTGGCCATCCCACGCGCCGTCCCAGCTGCGTAACCAAAAAGGCTCGCGCCGGAAACAACCGAACCCGCAGCCGTGCTTGCCGTGTGGGTGCCGTGGCCATCGTCATCTCGCGGAGATTTAGACTCTTTCGTTACATCGATGGGACCCAACATGGCTTCGTAGCCTTTTGCGAAGTACCTTGCTCCAATCAACTTCCTGTTACAGTTCGATGTTGTGAAATTGGTGCCTGTTTCGCACGCGCCTTTCCAGCTACTTGGAATGGGTCCAAGTCCAGCGTCGTCGAAGCTCTTGCTTTCAGGCCAAACACCAGTGTCGAGTACCCCAACAATAACCTCGCTACCTGAGCTTGACTCAGGGAACATGTCAGCACTTTTGTCCAGACCAAGGAACAACGGTGTCCTTGTTGTGTGAAGCTCGTACTTCATCTCAGGCAACACTGCTAGTACCCCCGTTTGGCTCTCCAGTAAACGAGCTTCTTCCTCTGTTAATCTGGTGGAGAATCCATGAATCGCGTTGTCGTAAGTGTAGAGCATTTCAGCTGAATCAGATACGGACTTCAGAGACGATTCGTACCAAGCTGAGTGGTGCTCGAAGCTTTCTGGCATTTCGGATTTGGACACGTGCACGATGTAAGTACTCTTCTCCTTCTCCGTTTCCGCCAGGGACTCATCACATAGACCCAGAAACAGAATCAAGAGAATGACATAGAAAGATTTGTAAAACGAGTCCATGTTTCTACACCCACTCAGATTTCGGAGTGAGAGAGTGTGTGAGACGGGAATGGAATGGAATAGATAACCCCGCTTTATCGAGTGCGGTTTTTAATGCAACTTTTTTTAACTGTTGGTGTTAGCCACGAAAGTGCGAAAAAAAGTAAGGAAGCGGTGGGTGGTTGTCTAGTCCTTGGAATTATTGCATTGAGACAAAAACAAGAGAGAGAGAGTGAGTGAGGATAGTGGTGCTTTCATTCACATGTGCGTTATGCACCGTCAGCTCTGCAAACCTATCTCTCCGTTGAGAAAGCACTTAATTTTTTTTTTCCTTTTTTCTTTCTGCTTTATGCTTTTGCTGTTTTCGCAGGTTAAAGCAGCACTATTCTCTCACCCTTTAACAGAACCGTGCAGGCCTTCCATCTCATAACCACGTTGTCCGAACGTTAACTTCATACCACCAATACTTAACCTACTACCTTGAATTCCCAACTGCGTATCTTTCCTAATATTATAAAAAGCATTATTAACTGTGCATGCATACTGTGGTGCTAAATGGTAAAGATAAGGAGAAGCATAAAAAATATTGAAAAAAAAACGCATTTCGTTTCACGGATTATTTATTTGTAGTGGACATTAGACAAGACTCACCTTACCTTGTTAAATGCGAGATATTTAAGTTTTGGACTTTCTCGTTCCTCCGTCTATATCTGCCAACCAACCAACTTATCTTTTTCTTTACTAATCTTGCTCTGTTGGGAAACTCACGGTCACGGATGTACCTAAAATAAGACATTCGTCATCACGGGCTTACTTCTGTGCTGGGAATTTACAAGAATTGATTAGTGATAACAACCTATTACTACTTTATTGAATAATGCTACCAGACAAAATTATTTATTAGAATAACTTTTTTTTCTTCTTTTAACTCAATTTACACACTAAACCATTTGTGAAAAACACATTAGCGTATAAACAAATAGGGATTTTCAACGAAAAACAACAACAATAGTAGTTTTTTAATCTGTTTTCTCATAAGCGTATGTTTGAGCATTATTAACTAAAATGGAATATTTTAACATGTACTTGATTGCAACTATTATGGTTTAGGTATTTAACTAATTTTTTTTTCTTTTTGGTAATCAGGTATTTAACTAATTAACTTAATATTCACTATAGGTTTTTTTAGATTTTACGGTTATAAGTATGAGTTTTTAATTTAATGAACAAGTATCTAATAAGTGTTAAATTGATTTATTTTGACTTATTTCAGATTAGATTTTGTAACTCAGTGGTGATAAACCGGAATTAGGCAATCTTTACCGGGTACGTCCACTTGGACAAAGTAATAAGTGAGACTTGGACGATCTTAAAGGCAGATCCGTACACCGACTTAATACATTAAAGTTTACTTTTTTTATTTTTTATTTTTTTATTTTTTTTGGTAAGCTACTTGTTTTATTTTTAGAAAGCTTATAATTAACATATTTTAAATAAAATCTTTTAAATAAAAATTTTAATTATAAAATAAATTAATCTAAGCACAAATTTTCACTTAAAAATTTATTAATAAAAGATTTAAGTATTATATAATTTGCTTTTGTTTATTTATTTATATCAATATTTATTGTGTAAATTGAGTTAAAAGAAAAAAATGTCATCTTAATTTATTTTAAGACAGCAAGTGACTTTTTATAGCATACAAAATCTTATAATTTTACTATTTCATTTTCTGAACAATTTCACACTCTTGAATTCAGATCCTTGTTACCAAAAGAAACAAAAATATTTTATTTACAATAGAATAATTAATAATACAATTTCTCAAGACAATATGATATTTATGATCTGGATTTACTATATGCAAAATAAAAGCCTAATTTTATAAAGGCCCGAGAGCCCAAAAGTACCTTGTGACTTAGCCATCAAAGCAAACTCATCCCGCATAGGAAGCGAGGAATCTCGCTAACTTGGCCAGTAAGCCAAACGTGACTTAACCTGAAAATCAATATTGACGAAATCACCAACTCAAGCAAGTTGGTCACCACCAATAACCAGTGAATGGATGGCAGCTCCCACTTACCACCATATCTACTGAATCTATTAGTGAACATAAGCTTGCCCACCAAGGAATAGCCTAAGAGAGGCCACCCTCTCCACCAATCAATGTGAACATCGTCATATGAAAGACGGTGAGAAACAAAGGCTCTCAATCACTATAAATACATAGGCTTTTAGCCCAAGTGTGATATCTCTCTTTAAATACTTGAACCTCCTTGAATATTGAACTTACTTGAGCATCAGAGTGCCTTTTGGGTTCCCCTCTCTCAATCGCTTTCAAACTATGCAAATACGTAAAGTGCTTATCAACTATCTCGCCAAGCACCCAAACATCTCGGCAATAATACACATGATTCTCTTTTTCTTCATCAACATCCTCTCACTTCAACTGTGTGTGATTAGGCCCAGCCCAATTTCTCTGCATTGGCATCATCTGTGGGGACGATAAATTTTGACTCCCACTACATACAAATAAAAAAACATGGTTGATACCAGGAGCAATATGTCAAAATCTCATAAAGCTTCCAAAGGTAAAAAGAAGGGAGGACAGGGATCTCGCAAGAGAATTGCCTCTTCCGTAGCTTTAATTTCTCCTCAGCGAGATAATCCATCTTAGAGCTCCTCCAACAACAAACTCAAAAAATTGAGCAACAACAAAAAGAGTTACACAAATTGAAAAAATCACAGACTAAGCATGAAAAACAGTCGGATGTGAATGAAAAATCTGATGAAAATAATCATGAACCAGAACAATCTCAGAAAGATGCTAGTCCATCAAAAAAAGGTAAACAAAAGATGGACCATCATTAGCCTCATGTTAGCCACGAGGCTAACCACTATACGAACCAAAACTCCCACCAGAATCCAAAAACAATTTCAAAAGTGGCTCATCCTTTTACCACGCAAATCATGAACCTACCTATTCCGAGGGATATAAAGATCACTACAAAGAAATACAACGAAAAATGAGAACCCCAGGAACATCTGGAGCATTTCTAGACGAATATGATGGTTTAGGATAATCCTGCTGCCATAGGTTGTCGTCTCTTCCCAACTACGTTAAAAGAATTTGCTTTAAGGTGGTATTCAGCACCAAACTCGATCAACAATTGGGAAGATCTTGCCAACCAGTTCTTGGTAAGATTGTAGCTAGTAAACCTCAGTACATATCTACACATGCGTTGAAAACTGTCAAGCAAGGTGCCAAAGAAACCTTGCAAGATTTCCTCAACAGATTTTTTGACGAAGCTTTATTGGTAAGAGATCTTGACCTACAAGTCTCTTTACACCTTATTACTGATGGACTACTAAATGGACCATTTTCCATATCCATGGCCAAGCAAAGACCAAAGACCATAGAAGAGTTACGTGCGAGATCCGAGAAGTTTATAAATCTCGAAGATTATAAACGATCCTGCGAAAAACCAAGTGAAAAGCTTGTGGCCAATGAATTCAAATGAGATTTTCAAAAAGGGTAAGAAAAAAGTGGGAAAAATTCGACAATTATTGTGAACACCTAATTTTATCCCAAATATTTAAAAATGACAAAAATATAATAATATTTAAATTGTGAACACCTATTTTTGTCCTTAAATAAGGAAAAAAGAAGGGAGCAAACATCAAAGAAGGAAGAAATAAGAGAGGCATTTCTTGAGAAAAATCCAGCATAGAGAATGATTGAGCAGGATTTGTTTTGACTTTGATATCCCTTTCATCCACCGTCCGATCAAGATAAAATATTTTTTGCAAGATCCTGACTCATTGTTATTCACATCTAACGATGGATTTGTTTATTACATTTCTATAGCATTTCTAGAAAATTTAAAACCGAAATAGTTCTCCTAAATGACTCTGCTGCAAGCAGTGATTTTGCGAGAGTCATTTCTCTCAATTGAATCGTTGGATCATAGTCAAATTTGGTTGGAGTATTCCTCTCATATGATACTTAAATTTGACCAGACCAATTTTTGAGCTTAGTCCCCTAATGTTAGATATAAATTTCGGAAGACGGCCCGCTTGTTTGTGATAACAACGACTCTTTCGGGAAATAATTTTGTGAGACACATTTCTCTCGATATTATTTCAAGGGGCATAAGTAAAGGTTAGAACAAAACAACCCCTGGGACAAATCTTGCGGAAACTTAATCTCGCAGGAAGAATGATTACTTGGTCTATTGAACTTTTTGAGTCCGATATCATTTATGAACCAAGGCAAGCCATTGAGGCTCAAGTGCTGGCTAACTTGATGGTCAAGATGACTCACCACGACAATGCAAAACTGAATGATGAATGGATTGTCTACGTGGATGGTTCCTCCAACACTAAAGGAAGTGGTGCTTGAATCATTGTTGAAACCCCCCCAAGTGGTCTCGGTTGAATATTCAATCCAGTTTGAATTTAAAGCTTCTAATAATTTGAGCCAAGCAAGTAAAGGAAGCTTTGATGACTAAATATCTTGAAAAGGTACACTTTATATTATTGACTTTTAAACATTTGAAATTTGAACATATACCGCATGAAAAGAATGCTACGATGGATATTTTGTCAAATTTGGCTAGCACCAAAAGTCCTAGGAATAATAGGTCGGTAATACAAAAGAATGTACCACATCCAAGCGTGATTATGGCCATCTCCAATCGCAAAGCTTTACCTTCAACCAGCGCAACACCATTGTTAGAAGAAGAGAATGAAGATGAAGATGAAGAGCCAATTTGGGTTACTCTAATCAAAGTATATCTTGAATCTGGTATACAACAACGAGATGAGCACCTCGCGAAGAAATTGATTAGAAATTCTTCATATTACACTATTGTGAACAATCTACTTTATTGGAAAGGATTCTCTGCTCCCTTGCTCAAATGCTTGACATCCAATGAAGCTCAGTATGGAATCACTAAGGCACATGAAAGAATAAACGGGCACCATATGGGAAGGAAATCCTTATCTCGTAAACTCCTTCGTGCGGGATATTATTGGCCTACAATTGAAAAGGATGCA